ATAGGGCACTATTTGAGGGAACAGCCATTTTTAGTGGTGTCCGAAACCATAGTGGACGTTCTCGAGTGCACTCATTCAATCCCACAATGCACCGCAAAAACGAGTGTACAACTGGTGCATGCTCAACGGCTAGAGAATACACATAATGCACTTGTGAGAGTCACGCGCCGAATGAATTCCCGCATCTCGCAGTTTGCTAGTTTCAAATCATTAATAAACAGCAAGCACCAACTATGCAAAAGCGGCAGTCCTTCCGGTGCACTCAGTGTCCGAATTCACTACTCGTTTTCATTCACTCCTTCTAGTGAACTGAATTAGTGACCTAATGTAGGGAATAGTGAATGAGGGTATAGGGGGCGATTTTCGGGCGATTTCGCCCTAGATTAGCTGGTTCAGGTGTGTTTAATTAGGGTTGAAGCTAAACTCTGCAGGAGGTCCCTGCCCTACATGGTTAATATTAATGTCTAAACTAATGCGGATAAATTTGAAAACAGAGTTTGTGTTTTTAAACACTCTCCGTCCACATTAATGTTTTCTAAAAGTTTCTCATCCACACTGAAATGTCGGAAAACATTAAATTCGCCTTACTGCACATGTGTAAAACCTCATAAAAGCTCACTAAGATGATACAGACGGAACAGACATAAGTTTTCACGCAATTCTTCTGGCAGGATCATTTTATTTACGGAAATAATCTCATAATTCACTGACGCAGTCCATGTTGCGCGCACTCATGTTTGATCTATAAAGCAACTGCCCTCGTGTTTTGCTGCAGCACAGCAATTGTGAGTAAATTTTCATCTTTTTCAGACTGTAATATGAAGAAGAGTGTACAAAGTAAACCTCTTTAGCAATGATGATACGGTGAATAGCACATAACAGGTACAATTACCAGTATAAACGATGTCTATTGGTACAATAGGTGTCACATGATATGACTAAACATGCATCATCGTTTTCAAAAGCCTCCGTTTTCACAATCCACACTACAACGAGAAAACTGCGTTTTCAAATTTATCCACTTTGGAGAGCATTTTCAAAAAGCTCAGTTTTCCTTGACAAAAATGTTGTCTCATTGTGGACGGAAGGCCAAAATGGAGAGAAAAATATGCGTTTTCATACGAAAACGTATTAGTGTGGACATGGCCTTATAAAGATATAGTGATTTCAATGTGTCTCGGTGAGTAATTTGTTCAATTGTACACATCTTCAGTGGTCAAACACCAAATTTGGGTCACTTTGCATTCAGCTGATATTTTCACTTTTATTAAAGGGTTAGTTCACACAAAAATGAAATTTCCATCATTAATTACTCACCCTCATGTCGTTCCAAACCCATAAGACCTTCGTTCATCTTCGGAACACAAATTAAGATATTTTTGATCAAATCTGAGAGCTCTCTGTCCCTCCATAGATAGCAAGGATATTACCACGATCAACGCACAGAAACGTAGCAAGGACATCGTTAAAATAGTCCATGTGACATCAGTGCTTCAACCGTAACTTTATGAAGCTACGAGAATACTTTTTGTGCATAAAGAAAACAATAACATAATTTATTCAACAATTCTTCTACCTGAGTTACCGTCTACCGTCATTTTGGAGAGTACCCAAGAATGTAATCAAAGTAATCAGCGTTGTTTACGTTCAGCATGCGTGCGCTCTCTACTGAACGTAAACAACGCCGATTACGCAGAATTTTTGGGTGAACTAATGCTGCGTTCAAGTCCTCCTGGGACGTTCGTATTTACGAGTTGACAAGTCGTATTTACGACGTCAGGTGCATTCAAGTCAATTTAGTCGGCACAAGATGGCGGTGTACCTAATTTTAATACATTTAAACAACAGGGTCTGTTAACTCTGCTTATAGAAAATGAAGAGCAAAGAATTCGCATCAGGTGTGTTTTGCGTTTTTAATATTTTTAAAAAGTAATTTATGAAGCCACTTTAATCTGTATTGCATAAAAACTTATTAATTGTAATATTACAATCCTGCCACATTCAAAAAGCTTATTTTTTGTAAATAAAAAGCCTGACACAACCCTCTACATTGCGACTAAATCTTACTCTGGGCGACTAAATTATGTCTAATATTAGCCAATGGCTAATAAATTCTCAGATTTTACTCGCCAGTGTGTGAGTTGGAGGTTAAGTGTAGCACAGATATATTTTCACTCACAGAACACTGACTGAGC